TGTAAATGTATTTTCATTTTGGTTGAAATAAAATTCGTTGTCTCGAAACGACAATCATTTACACTTTAGGACAATCAGTTTTCAACAAAAGACTTTCAACAACACAATTTGCATGAGAACTCACAATCAATTGCATTATTATGCAACCATATCCATGAAGGTAACAACCTTAGTGCGGTAAGACAAACATTACCGTGTTTTCACCAAACGTTAAGAGAAAACAATCGCTCATTCGGGCAGTTCTTTTGAACAGAGATATCTCGCCCAATTTTCCTCGAAATTTTGATTATAGAACAGGGGACCATATGTACTTTTTTAAAAAACATATTGTCAGAATCCTCCCCTTCCAGATATATGTAAATTCGGCCACTTATGAAACTTTTTGCGTACAACTCAGAGGGCGCACTACAGTATACGTGTGTCATGGTGACAGTTAGATTTCTCCAGAAATGCCACGAAGAAATAGAATCCCATTTGAACACCGCGAAAGGATAGTNCAAACGTTAAGAGAAAACAATCGCTCATTCGCGCAGTTCTTTTGAACAGAGATATCTCGCCCAATCTTCCTCGAAATTTTGATTATAGAACAAGGGACCATATGTACTTTTTTTAAAACACATTGTCACAATCCTCCCCTTCCAGATATATGTACATTCGGCCACTTATGAAACTTTTTGCGTACAACTCAGAGGGCGCACTACATGTACAGTATACGTGTGTCATAGTGACAGATTGTTCTCCAGAAATGCCACGAAGAAATAGAATCCCATTTGAACACCGCGAAAGGATAGTCAGGGCCTTTGAAGATGTCAAAAGAGACGAAGCAAGACGCCAGGGAATTACTCTGTGAAATTATCGCACGCAGCTGTTGCAGCAAGCTCTACAACGAAATATTGGTACCATTACGGCAGCTTTGGGTTTGAAGTTGCAAAGTGGATGGCTTACTCTGGTGCTAAGACCATTGTTCTTGTTGCTCGCTCCAAACTATCAGAGTCAAAATTAAGTGAAGTTTCCCAACTGATGAGTTTGACTGGAGCCAATATAATTCTTCACCAAGCAGATGCTTCCAGTTCAAAATGTATGAAAGCCTTACAACAAAGACTTAACACCCTTCCAAGTGTTGCGGGCATTGTGTACACAGCAATGGTCCTTAAGGACGAGCTTATACCAAGTCTGAATACAAACCACTTTAGGGATGTTGCCGCACCCAAAATCAAAGGTAGGGAATACTGAAGTAATTCTTAATCAAATGCTCAGGTCTAAAAATGGTTTCTCAGTGTCCAACTAGTTTATGGCATTCTCGCTAACGTTTGCTTGGGTGAGATAAAACGCTGGGCAAACAACGAGAAAAAAATTTTAACATCTTCTGCGGGAAATAAACTTTATGTATTATCGTACCTTATATCCACAGGTGCATTCTTGTTACATGAGATGAGCTTGCAAATGGACCTTGATTTTTTTGTTCTGTTCTCATCAATTGCATCGCTGCTGGGGAATCCAGGTCAAGCTTCCTACGCAGCGGCCAATGCTTTCTTGGATGGTCTGGCACAACATCGACAGCACTTTCTCGGTCTCCCGGCAGCATCCATAAACTGGGAACCTATCAAAGGCCCTGGTGTTCTACAACGCGAAGAAGCCATTGCTGAGCATCTTTCCAGGGCAGGGTACTTTCTGTTGCCCTCAGCGCAAGGTAAACCCTAAACAATGCAACAACAATACGATGTACAAGATGCGTTGTAAATAAAGGACTTACACACACTTTTCAAAGCCTTGAAGACTTGAGAATAATCAATATCTTCCTTGAGTAATACAACTCCAAAAATGGTTCAAAGCAGACAAGTTGCAATACATCAATCAAGTCAGGGTTAACAATGTTTATCATCAGATCCGTACAACATGAACAAAAAAGTAATCAGAAAGGACTAAAACACTTTGAGCTTGTGGGTGGTTAAAGAATCTTAAAAACACATAATTTATAGTGACACAGAAGGGTGCGATGCAATTCTCTCTCACCACACCTGTATTTTTTTTTTTTCATCATCAGCGATACAATACATGGAAGAAGTTCTGCTTAAGGAGACAGATCGAGCACAGCTTGGATTGTTTGATGTTGACTGGCAGAAAATTCAAGCGAGCACACCAGGACTGGGAAAGTCAACTCGCCTGGCCAGCATTAGAAATAAACGATATTTTGCTGAGAACACGCAAGACATGCAGCAACTTGCTTCCAGAATACTCATGGAAAAGGACCCAAAAAAACAGGCAGACATGGTCCAGCAGTTTGTCGTTGACCTACTGTGTTCATGGACAGGGAACACTCCTTCTGAGCTTGACTTTAATTCAAGTTTATATAACTATGGAATGGATTCCTTTTCGGGGCTGACATTTAAAATGCAGTTCGAGTCTTCACTTCACCTTTCATTTGAGGTATGTTGTTGGAAAATAGTATAAAATAATACCACAGTAAATGCACTGTTTTGAAATACTGGGTTCAAGTCGATTTAAATAACTTGCAAAATTCGTGATTTTATATAGTATAAATACAATAATAGCTGAGCAATTTGAGTTTACTGGTTGGGTGGATAGCTGAAATGAAGGATCGTTTCTTTGAATCTTCACTACATGTTGTAATGATAGCAATTACAGCACGTTTGGTACTTGATCAACAGGTATTCTACTTCACCCAACCGGACACAACCCCCACTAAGCTGGTACAGGACATCATTGGAAGGCTTAACAATGCTCCTATCAAGAATGAGGTGCCCACAGAAAAGGCAACACTAAATACCGAACCAGGGTCTGACAACTCTACACAAAGGAAGGTTGACACTGAAGAATCTGTACATCCAATGGACAAACTGTCAGATTGTGCAACATACCACCTCATCCCTCTTTTTAAACCTGAGGAAGCCGAGTTGCGTCCATCCAGCCGGACGGTATGCTATGAATCTCGCACCTCTCCCAAATGGCTTTACACAACAGGTAAGAATGAATTACCTTTCCACACAACAACTAAGCATGTTTTGCCAAATGGTGAAAAAATGGTTAAATTATTATTATACATGGGGCTTTCTGATCGTACACACAAAGAATTTCAAACTGGTCGTAATCACCGCATCATTCTACACAAACAGAGGTTGAGACTGACCGTGCAATATCCCAGAACTGCAAAATGTCCTTCTGACACATAGGAATTCCACTGTCTAATCAGCAAACATTTGACAGAAACACGCCTTTACTTGAAATCAGATGGATCATCCAGACAACAAATTCCCTGTGAGTACGGCAAAGTCTGCATTGGGGAAACAGGGAGATCTATGCAGGAGAGGATCAAAGAACACGACAGGGATATACGAATCGCCCGTACCCAGACCTCCGCCATTTCTGAACACACCCACGAGACCGGCCACTATCCTATCTGGAATGAGGTGAAGTTTATTGATCGAGATCCTCACTGGTACACACGTAGCGTCAAGGAAGCTATTCACATAAGACTTCACCCTAATAACATCAACAGGGATAGTGGAATTGAAATTCCTGAAGCATGGATACCCACGATCAAGAAACACAACAGGAGAACGTACAACAGCGGACCACTGAGGGAACAGCTACTCGTCGGAACAACGGAACAATAGGAGGATCAAAATGCACCAATCACAGCCGACCTTTGTGATGTAAATGATACCGTGCATTCAGTCGACCTTATCGCCTGAAGAAGACTAGCAGTAAGCAGTCGAAACGTTGTGATCTACATCTCAAGTGACTACATCGTGAGACAAATTATANACATAAGACTTCACCCTAATAACATCAACAGGGATAGTGGAATTGAAATTCCTGAAGCATGGATACCCACGATCAAGAAACACAACAACAGGGGAACAGTACAACAGCGGACCACTGAGGAAACAGCTACTCGCCGGAACAGTGGAACAATAGGAGGATCGAAATGCACCAATCACAGCCGGCCTTTAGGATATAAATGATACCGTGCAATCAGTCAACCTTATCACCTGAAGAAGACTACAGTAAGCAGTCGAAACGTCGCGATCTACATCTCAAGTGACTACAGCGTGAGTCAAACAACTCAGTTTAGCACACATACACTATGAGGCTGTATGAGGTTACACATGATGTCTAACTTGCCTGGCTGACTCCTAGGATTGATAGTTCAGAATTTTTGGTTGAGTGGAAAGTACTGGCCCTATTTCTAACTCTGTTCATTAAACACCAGTTCTTAAAAGATTTTATTACACAACTAAGTTAGTTCAGAGGGCCAATAACTAAAATCAACCAATGAGATTGCTTCATTGCTGGTCCAATAATCTCTTAGTTTTGGACCAGGCACTGGCTTATAATCTCAAATGATCCCGCACAATCACTCTTGAACATTTTGTGGTACATGTAGTTCTATGGCTTGCGTTTCTGAAACAACTTGCTTTCACATAAAAGACTTTCTTTTTCTTGCACCTTTCTTTCCCTTTTGTTTTGTTTTCCAACAGACATAAGTTAACATCTGGTCAGCTCCTGACCAGGATTGCACCCTTGAAGTTTGCTATGTCTTATCAAGTCCATGCTTTTGGCAATTTTCTAAAGATTTTCCATCATGCAATAAATCTCTTATTAACCAAGCTTACTCAGGACTGTACCAGTTGGGAGAATGTCCTATGTCATTCTGTACTGTCAAGACCCTGGGGCAATATTCTCCCAGTATGGCCTTGCACTTTGTTAATAAGAAACATGTATTTCATAAAGCCCATGTATTGAGAAAATCCAGGACCGTGTACAGGGAGTACTCCTGAAATGTAATAATAAATGCAACAACAATGAAATGAACACAATATTATTTGTACTTACTTTATCAGCTATGGTGATATTTGCTGTTTTATTTAGAAGCAACCTCACTGCTTCACATTTTCCACTCTCTGCTGCAATCTTAACAGGAGTATGTCCATACTGTAACAAAAGAACATTTCAGAGGTCTAAAAATGCATAGATGTAAAAGGTTAAGTCTGCATACATGTACGAGCTAAGTGGCCCATCAGGCCAGAGCTTATCCCAGTTTCTCCCCCCTGGATGGGATGCTAGCCCATCGCAGGGTTACCCCCAGCATTAAGTTTGCCGGTACCCATTTATACTGGGTGGAGAGAGGTACTGTGAGAGTGAAGTGGCTTGCCCAAGAACGCAACGCAATATCCCTGGACAGGGTCCAATCCAGAAACTAGTGCACTAACCCTGAGGCCACTGTGCCTCCCCCCCCCTCCCCCCGCCACACACACACACAAAATGCTATGTGGGTCTTAGTAATCAATAAATAAGAAACTATGCACTTTTGTCAGTGGTTACAAGTCAATTATATATAATTTTATATTTAGAGGTGGTCAATGATAAATGCAAGACTTTGTGAGAAGGTAACACTAGCGTTCTTCTTTGTGAGACAAGACATTTTAATTGCCTTTTTGAACTGCAGGACCAAGACTCCAAAGCGTTTTAAATATGAAGATGAAATGCTCAGACTTTAAGACGTTCAGGCATCATTAATTTTATACGTGTAATTTTACAAAAAAGAACAATCAGGACTTCAAGACAAAAATCTTAGCCTTGCAAAAAATTGAGACTCCGATACAGTGATTTTCACAAGCATGAAAAAATTTTCCCACTAGCACAATTATAATAATCAGTTAAAAGCTAAAATTAAAAATATATGTAAACTGTATATAAAATGGTCTCTTAAAGTACTTAATCTGTAAGACTGAAAACAACATGAATTTGTTTATTGAAATTACTACAGGTGACATCCTTTTTTGATTCAAATTCAATTTTTGTGTGAACAAATACTTTTGTTTTCACCTGTTGATTCCCAAATACTAGCAGTACAAAAACAATTAAAACTTTATGGGGTCATTACACTCCTTTGTACAGCTGTAGTCTTCCCACAATGTCAAGAAGCACAACATGATCATGGGCCAGTCTATGATTCAAGTTAGCTTAAGTTGCACCATGGAATTAAAGAATTTTGCTCACCCATAGGGAGTTACAGAGTGTTGAGGCGCATTACATTTTAGAATACATTCTGAACCCAATTGATAGCCTACATAGCTGGCAGAATTTCACTCGTGAGGGCTTAACCCTTTCACCACTGGCATCTTGCTTTGGCGGCAAAGTCGAATGTGAACATGAGCGGTGAAGCCACGAGGGAAATGGTGAGGAGTCTAGTTGAATTGCCACCTGCCCTAATTTGCGTTTTTTTAAACCTCATCCATCCCAGGAGAACACATTGCATGTTACAGCTCACTCGAGATCCGATTGGATCATAAAAGTGGGTGGCAAGCAAAAACCATAAGAAATGAGGCAGATGGGAATTTTGCAGGCTTTGCCTGTGTGAGAGTAAAATGGCAGCTCTGCCACTAGAAATCACTCACTCATGAATCCTGCTAGCTATGCAGGCTATCCAGTAGACTTCCCGCAAGTCGCACTTTTCTTAATCCTTGACCTACTTATCTCCCTTGAGCGAAGTTTGAGCAGGAATCTTCAAGCGATGAAGTCGCAAGGGTGTGCGCGAGCGATGTAAGTTGCGAGAGGTCGACTTGTTTCACTTGCAGGAATGTGAATCAGAGTGTAAATTTTTGCCACAAAAAACATGATTGACATCTCTCACTTTTCATGTGCTCCGCGTGCAATCGTCACGAAGGCAGAAATGATTTCCATCAAAACGTTCCCTAAGTCAAATGAATTTATTTGTGTCAAATTTATTTGTGTACAGTGCAGTATGCAGTCAGCAATATTGACAAACAGCAAAAGCTGTTCCATTGGGTAACGCCTCCTGAAAAGTCAAATCCCTGTTTAAACTGATCGGGAATTATTTGTTTTAGTCTAAACTGGTTGTCTAGATTAGAGATTAATCAGTGATCGACCAGAGACTGCCTGACAAAATGCTATAAACTTATGTAGATCTAGCTTGTACCGAGAGGAATCAGAATTAACTAAAGAACAAGGAATTACTCAGGGAAAACTTTAATTCTATAAAGCTCTCTTGATTAAATTACGTTGAGAATCGAAGTTGCAACGAATGGCAGAGAATAAAATCGCTGTTCCCAAAAGTCCTTCATTGATCAACGACTGCTTTCAAAGCAGTAAAGTTGGTAAACCGGCCAATGCAAATTTGCTGCGATGCCCTTTCTTTGTAGAGAAGTTACTTGGTCAGTCATTAAATCAACTAAAAGTGCAATAATTACACACACTGCAGGAACAGCTCTGTTCTTCTTTGAAAGGTCCAAACTTAATTCTCTGAAATGATCCAGATCACGCAGGAACTCAGATCACGTCCGTAAGTAAACAAACCCGTATTGATCGGATAAATAGCCCTCCACTGCTTTTCCCTGTCCTTCTTTCAAAGAGTCAAAATTAAGTTGGATAAACCAAATTCAATTGTACCAACTGAAGAAATTTATATCCTTAAGTATCTCCGAGAACAAAAGCTAAATAAAAAAGATTTTTATAGTACTTGAACTCAGCAGAGATTTGCTCTGCGAGTTGCGTCATTGGTCACGTGCCACGTCATGATGTATAGTCAGTACTTGTTTGTTCATTGGTTAATGTGTATTTACGTCACTGGTGAAAAAATGCACCGGTAAAATTTGGCGCACTGCAAGTGGGAAAAGTCCTTTCCAACAGTGAAACTAACAATGGAAATATTATTGGAAAGGACTTTTAGAAAGTCTAGCTATCCAGTTGAAAGCTGCATCTCAGTATAATAATGATAGTCATTAATGCATTGTTATATCCAATTCTTTAGTCAGAACTTAACTTCGTGTGTCTTTATCTACTAATTAAAAATTCAATGCTTCATCATATTCTCTCACCTCATCTGTGGCATTAACATTAACACCTTCACAACTGAGAATTAATTCAATGATGTTATTGTGTTTAGTTTCATCAGTAGAAGTATCAGGGGCAGACAAAGTGCTTGAATGGACATCTTCAGTTTTATCGGTAGCTGTATGAAGGACAGTGCGTGAAAACTGGAAAAAAATTCATAGCAAGAGTCATTAAAAAACAGAAGAGAACTCTATGCAATATTATACTGATGATCCCATGGTTCCATTTTATCAGGTTGCCTGTGTCAATTAACAGTAATCTCGTTGGGTCATCATGACTGTAATGCTTCTTCCCATAAATGGCTGCCCCAACTGCATTCTTCTGCAGGGCACAGGAGCCAGTGGGTTAAATTAATGAGACCAAAAGCAAAACTAATAAGAAAAGACAGATAGGCATGCATTGAAGTTCATAAACTGGAGTGCTGAATAATAGCAGCTGTTACCTCAGGCATCCAATAGGCTATGGTACAGTCAAAACAAAAAGAAATGAATAGAGTTCTTAAGCAGTGTTAGTTGAGAGAAATATTGTGTGGCAACCTAAACAACTGCTGCAAACTTATATAACAACTACTTTAATGGCCGATGGTCCCCATTTAAACCCCATAAGGGATGAGAAATATGAAGAAGATGACAAAGATCAGACCATCTGGGCAAAAACTATCCACTGTACCTCCCTTTGAGCTAAATTAGGGTTAACCAGGGGTTTCTGTAAGTTTTTTAGCAGGCAGGCATCAGACCATGACAAGCGGGCAGAAACAATGCAAAGCCCAAAAGGTCTTGCCAAGCTTGGAGAGGAGGGAGGGGAGGGGACATGCCTCCACAGGAAAATTTTGAAATCCTAGACTTACACAGATGTATTTTCCTGTAATTTGGAGCACAAATTCAGTACCGTTCAAATGCCCACAGGAGATCATTGTAATTGGTATAGCTAACTCATATTCTGATGCCACTGATCAAGGGATAAATCAGTGTTCATAGTGTCACACTGATTGCATAAAAAGACAGTATCACAAATAAAATTTTCTTATTCTGTATTCCATAATCACCAGCTTTGATAGGTTTCTAGTAAAAACAAACTCACAAGAGTGTTTTTAATTCTCTGATTTTTTAAATTACCGTGAATGAAAAAAAAACATGTTATGTAAATAGACGAACGCTTCTAAAACAGAAAGTGCAAAGTCAGAAAGCTTCAGTTAATTATAAAAAGGTGAACAACATAAAGATCGTGTTCATGAAAAATAGTGACTTGGATATATACAAGCATTCTCCAAAAGTATATTTGTGCTATCCAAATGCCTGTTGTTGCCCATCTGTTGAAAATGCAAAAGTCAACTGAAATGTTTATATAAATAACTGTAACACCAAAACAATTCCTCTAGAAGAGAATGCTAATTTAATTAGTGATAAATTCGGCTTAACAAGAGATATTTCCATACCGCAGCCATAAGCCCCGAGAACTGAAATTCACTTTAAACTTGTCCACAGTGTTCCGTAGCTCATGGTTTTATTTGACATGAACTTCATGTGTATTCAGGAAGACCTTTGATTCAGATCTTCTTGCAACCCCAAGGAAGATATCATTGCTTCTAAGTCATTGTCACCCTCTTAACCATTGGTCGATTCTTCTTGATGCTTATTCCTTACCACTTTGAAATCTTTAAAGGTGTGTTTTGGTTCTAAGTACAGAATTTTGCCATTTAGAAGAAAACCACGACAGAGGAAGCCATGCAAATGAATATATGAAAGATCATATATTTGAACTGCGGAGAAAGATATGAAGACATGATTGATCATTGCAGTTACAGTATACACACAACTTAAGCAGTTGTGATATTAAAGCCCGAAAAAATTTCAGGCCTGAATGGGATTTGAACCCATGACCTCTGCGATACGGATGCAGTGCACAACAACTTAAGTTGTGTGTATGACTGCGGTGATCAATCACGTCTTCATATCTTTCTCCGCAGTTCAAAAATATGATCTTTCAATATTCATTTGCATTCTCCATCATCTACGGGTACTTTGGGAACTCACAATGTGACCAGCTCCCAGTTGGCTTGATAGCTCAGTTGGTAGAGCACTGCACTGGTATCGCAGAGGTCATGCATTTTTTTCAGGCTTTAATTTCACAACTGCGTAAGTTGTGTGTATAACTGCAATGATCAATCATGTCTTCAGAAAGAGCCATGTTTGTTTTCGATCAGCGCAATCAAAAAACAAAACTTTCCCCTACTGCCTAGAAAATGCAAAGGACCAATTGAAAACACAATAGGTATCAAAGAAATTTCTGGGGAGTGAGAAAGAGGCAATTTCTTAGTATTTTCAAAGAGCCACCTGCTATACCTACCATGCAAAGGAGTTGATCTGTGCCCTGAGCTACCCCTACATGAAGTTAACAGAGTTAACAATGAAAAGTTTAACAGACTTCTGTTACGGTCTTTTAGTATGCCATCATACTGTCTCCAGCTGACAAAAATATTGACATCTGAAAGCCACGTTTTCGATCAGGAACTAGCATTTCGCTTACTTTAAGGACCTTTTCCAATACTCTAACCCCAAAAGTACTCCATCTTACGTCCTATATTATTATTGTTATCATCATCATCATCATCATCATTATTATTATTATTTTTATTACATTTTATTATTACTTTGCACTAAAAACAATGCAAGCAGAGTTCTCTCTTTACAGTATACCGTAAAGAGACTTGCGTTGTGTGCGAGTTAGCTTCTTTCCACCATTTTAAAGGGGAGTTAAAAGCACAGAATAAAGCTTTACAGGAGAATAATGAAACTGAGCATGATATTATTTTTAATTCAGTGTGAACAGGTTATATATTTCTGTCGCTGTCTGTAGCATAATAAAACTTGAAACTCAAGCAAGTGATGATTCCGAAGGAATTATTGGTCACATGCTAGGCAACCAGTAAAAATGGCAAACACATTGAGATGAGTATCTAATCTAAAATAATTATTTATTGTTTTGTCGCTTTCTTGGGCCAGTTTGACCAGGCTGAGAAATAATAATATTGCAGAAACAGAAAAAAAAAACATTCCCAAGTATACTGTATTTTTGAAACTATTTTACTATCTTCGCTATAAATTTAGAGCAATGAAGCATGAACCAGCAAGTTCCATCATGGTAATTGGATTTCACAGTCAATTTCAGACTGTTTACTCTTGTGGGGAAATGTGGAAGTACACTTGCACAAATGTGACATTTTATTACGTGAGAAAAAAGTTTTCAACACGAAGTTAGCACTCATCAAAACAGGTTCTTTTGTGGAAAAACTTTTTACTCCTCACTTCACAGCACTTTATAAAAACACACAAAATCATATTGTGACTCAAAGTTTATTTCACACAAAACTCTACCTCCCTCTGGACCTTTTCTCTGGTGGAGCAGAAAAATACTGTCAAGTTACAGAATTTGCTGTGTAATTTTGACACATTTCAAATGGACTTTCAGTGTTTTGCGATGCATAATTAGGCAAATTTGTAGGCAAATTTGCGGGCGATTTTGCTTCGCAATTTGAAGGTAAGGGAGATAACATGTACTGTAAAGGCAAAATCGTGCTTCTATGATTTGAAATAAACTTGTTAATTTTTTAGAAGACTGTGAGCCTCAGGGATCTAGCATGGGACAGCAACAATATTATATACATGTAAATTATCAATGAAGCAGCTGAGCAAAGTTCTTTTTACAGCCGGTTAATTTCCCCAGTGCCTGGCCCCTTTAATGAAACCCCTTGGATTAACAGAAGTAAAAATGTTGGTTTAAAATTACAGAAAGTGGGTCGATAAATTCTTTTTCTTTTTTTACAGATTATGACAAAATTAATATGAGACAACACAAAATGATATGGATGCTTACTATAAATGGTTTTTGGGAAAATTTAAAATGAGAAAACAAACTTACACAGTCAGTAGCATGAATATCAGCTTCCAGTTGCAACAACCACTTCACAATGTCTTCACGCCGATATTTAACTGCCAGATGCAGAGCTGTTTCCTATAAAATACAATACAGAACTATTATTATGTTGTATCATGTTGAGCTAAATTACTACTGGGATAGCTTCTCATTCCCACCAAGTAATGTTTGTTTACCAGATAAGACATAGCTTGGTGTATTGTCAGACAATCTCTAGCTGAGTAATTATACAAAATTGTACTGTCTCCATTCTCCATCAACCTGTAACAGCCAGCTACATATATAAACCACCCAAAGAACAACCAACTCAGTACAAGAAGTTGTGAGATAATTATAATGGCCTCTAGAAGAAGAACAGGGGAAGGTCTGCTCATCTGTAGTTGTCATCATCTCCTGATCAGGACTGATGAGTCTAATCCAATGTACATTCAAAGCAAGAACTATGCGACTGATATTTCAACATGCTTGGGAAAAGCAAAGGCATTCAATAGCATTTTCAGTGGTAACATTGGTGATCACACGACCTGTGAGCATACGTGTGTACCGATCAATGATAATCAGTAAGTAATAGTAATTGGACTGAGTGGGGTTCCATTCAGAGAGTTATCGCCCCCATAAATTAAAAATCGGATCAGCACAAAGCAGTGTTTCAGCCAGAAAATTTTACTTGAGGGCCAAAGTGGCCCCCGTAGATCTTTTTTAGGGGCCAATTTTTTAGGAAAGGGGCCAATAAATTGAAAGCTACAGAAGGAAAAAATGCATCAGGATACCAAGAAAAATAAAGCAGTTTATTAGGATCTACGATGAAATTTAATAGTAAGTGCTTTTTGAAGTGTTTGTACTCAATAAAGTTTCTTTTGAATCAAATATTAGTATGAAGGATCCGTGCATTACAAAAGAACAATACGTAGGCATACATGACGTAGTCAATGATCAAGGGTTTGCAGTGCATCATAGGGCGATTTCAAGCACGATCAGCCATTTGGAAGTTTTCCGATGTGAGAGAATCGATACAGCAAAGTAAAAGGATGGATTGACTTCTTTTCTTATGTTGAATGTTTTAGAAGCAAAGATCTTTCAATGTGATTTTCTAGAAGGACATAATGTGTGACAAAATAACTATCATTGATCATCAACACAGAGAAGTGTAGTCTCCATTATGCCGTATTATGGCGACTAAACCAGAATTTTTGGTCGCCAAGGATGAAATGCTTGTTGCATTGGTGACCATATCATCACAATTTCGAGCCCTGGGGTGGCTTTTAAAATGTTATGCCCATGTTAAGCCTGCAGTCTTGTAAAAGGAAAGGGCCAAATTGGCCCTTTCTTCATTTTTTTTCTGGGGGCCATCTCTGATTTAAACGCGGGATTCCCGCAATGGCACGCTCTGGCAGAAAAACTGCAAAGTGTGAGGCCAATTTGAAATTAGGAGCACAATTACTCCCTCAATTGTATGACACAAGGCCCAATTACTACTAATCATATCTATAACAAATTTCAAAATTAAAGAAGTCTTTGGAGAACTTCTTTTGAGTGAAAAAGTCAGTAGTGCTTTCCATAAGTTTGAAAGTAGGAAACATTAAAGTGTATATGACACAAAAAATAATTTCGGCTTATTTGAAAGGCCTTTCAAAATACAGAAGGATGGTGTTTTTCTTTTTGAAATATCTTTTTTCGTTTTAGAGATCTTGACATTTTTCTATTATGCAAATTAGAGTAGTGATGACGTCATATTGTTTGCAACTAAAAAGTGGAAAATACTGAATAAATGATATCTCTGGAAATATTGAAGCAGTGTTCCTGAAACTTGGCACCACAAATGTGCATCATGAAAAGAACAAAATGACACCCTTAGTGCTGTTGCCATAGCAACTCTTTTGGTTCCAGTCTCTTTCTGTCAAAAAACCAAAAATCCCCATTTGCAACCTCTAAAGTATTTTCCACTCGTTAGTTGCAAATATGATGTGATCACTGCTCTAATTTGCATAATAGAAAAACGTCAATATCTCTAAAACGAAAAAAGATATTTAAAAAAGAAAAACCCCATTCTTCTGTATTTTGAAAGGCCTTTCAAATAAGCAGAAATTATTTTTCGTGCCATGTACACTTTAAGAAGGGAGCCATTAAAGAGTGCGTAATTGACATGCGAATCATGTGGGTATCCAGTTACAAAAAGTTGCAATTACATACCTGTAATTAGACACCCACGTGATCATTTACCGATTACGCAGCAACTAAGCGAGTGGAGAACCAATCATGATTGAGAATTTTGTAACAGATATGATTATAAATATAATCAATAATCAATAGTAACTTTACAGTTATTGGAAATCAATAGAGATCAAAGCAGCCACGATGAGTGATTTTCAATTTTCATTGATTTCTCTTAATGTTCATTGAAATTTGTTGATTTCTATTGAAATGTTTTTTATTTTGTTTTAAACACGTCACACAGTTTATTATATATTCTCAATAACGTTTAAATTTTCTGATCATTGCAAGTATTTCATAACTCTGTTTAGGGAAAAATAAAGTGCACAAAATCAGAACAAGCTCAGTAGTTTTAAAATATTTACAGTTTATCACTCTGTATATAGCCTGTCTGCAAGCAATCTCCACTGACTTCCTATATATGTCTACACAAAGGCTAGTTCTGGCCAAGAGACTTTATTGTTAGCACAAAGACTTCCAAGAGTCACTAATAAATCTTCTAACTATCTTATACTTTAATAATAACTTTTTGACTCACTCCGTGTGGCTCAAATTTCTTCGTCAACAAAGGATTCAACTTGTCGAGGTTTCCCTTCGTTGAAAAGCACCTTTGGACATCCTTTAAATCTCCAGTTCGGATACATCCCAGCAATTCTGTGTGCTTACCACCTCTCATCTTTTTTCACCGTACTCCAGAAAGCTTGCAAAGAACGCGACGACGATTACCGCAAATACCTGCAAATAGGCTGAATTTTGCACAATAATTTAAAAACTCATGTTCCCACAATGCTCGGATGTCAAAACGTCGTCCATTTGGTCCACAAGTGTTGAAAATTATCTCGAAACCTTTCAATGGCGACCTTTCTCCTGATTAGAAAGGTTCTTTTCTTGGAATATGACTTTCTTAAGCAACATACAGTACCACACAGTCAAAACACCATCCGCGCCATTTTGAAATCTGGACGCGAAGGCCTGGGGAGAATTTTGTGCCCAGTCTGCTGACAATCGTCTGGAACTGGAAATTGAAATATCCTGAATATGCTGTAATGCTAGTGCTGGATGGTTCTATTCCTTCACTCTTGCTTGTGGAGGTTTTGTTTCGCATATGTTTTTTTTTCACATTTATTCAAGAAGGTGATGCAATCATTGAGTACCTTGGTCATAATCCGGAGCACGCGAATAAGTTGAATACCCAATAAGTTAAAATACTTCCTTTTAAAAGATTCACGCTACTAACAGCGATAGATGATGAAATATTTTAATTTTCATTTCATTTTCCATTATCTTTTATCTGAAAGTTTCACTTCTATTAATTAAAAGTACCTCATCAACAAACCCTGGTCCGAGAGTTTTTCCTCTTCTTTCTCGGCTGATTTGTACTTTTCATCTAATCGAGAAATAAAAGATAAACCTCTGAACTGGAATCTTTGAAGAGGGGAGGGGAGGGGTGGGTGGGGAAGTTAGACGCGTAATTAGCAAAAAAATCCTTCATAAGAATAGCCAAAGCGGCAGAAACATTGTGCAAAGTGGGCCACGAAGGAGGAACATGAAACGTTACAAATAAAAAATAATTCTTGCGCGACATGGCTCTGACAAGGGACGATGATATTCTCTTAGCTCTGATCATGAAACACATTGTTGCTCCGAAAAATTGCCCATCCCCATGTCCTATCCCTTTACGTTACAGCGTAGCTGTGTAGAGCTGGGTGCACGCGTTTTCAAGACAAGCCGGGTCAACGTTTATATTACGGAAGTTTCAGCCAACAAAGATCTGCATTGTTTACCGGCCCTTGGCCAAATTATCGCAAACAGAAAGATTGTGAGGTTGTATAACATTCTCGCAAAATGAATCGGAACTGAGGACGCCTCTGAAAGTGCGTCATCTGATAACTGTTCAAAATCTGTATGCTTGCAAATTGCAACTATTTAAGGTAATTCCTCTGAAATAAAAGTGACAATAGATTTTTGTTCAAACTTTGTCCACTGAATATTTGTCATATGATAACTTCAATTNGCATTCCCAGTAATTGTAAAATCTTTGTGAGCCCAGACTCATAAGAACACGCATTAAACTACAGTCAATACATTGTGTCGGACACAAATAAACATTTTAGGTTTGATTCAGACAGAAAGCTAAATCCTTGATTAATAATTCGAACCAAATTTCTTGACGTAGTTACCGACTACAAAATAGAAAAGACCACAGTGTATCTGCTATTTTTCTCATTTATTCAATTTTCAGCAATATAAATTAGATCAGTCTTTTCTCACGCAAAGCTTATGATTAGTTGATTACAATGACTGGAAAAAAAGTTGGGGTGCCCGCGCTCGTTGGTGAGCTAGAGCCAATTTTCAACTGACAGAGCTGAATATCAAGGCAAATTCGTCATGTTTTCTATATGCGGGTTTACGAGCGCGCGCTAATGACGCCATAAATTATGCACAGTAGACACGAAAAGCCACTGAAATAGAAACACTCTTTATCTTTGTGGTAAACAAGTATCAAATATGTGGAAACGTATGCCTCATCTAATGCAGCAACGCATGAGTTCAGGGAAAGTAAAAATAACAAATAAAGCTTCATTTTACAATCATTGTATCAAAAACGTAGGCCAGCACAGAGACGCACCGACAAAGAATAACCTAAAGTTCAATAGTCCCCAGATGAGTTCTGATCTGAATAGTCCCTAAAACTAAAGCCTAGACACCCCAGCTATAAGCGTCTTCAGTTATGTCGTCATTACAGCTCATCACAGCTCAACGCGCATGACTGTGTTTTATCAGAACAGCAATAATGGAAAAACCAATCACATCGGCAGATTTATACAATAGACCAATTTCGAAATATTAAAATTCAGCCTAAAACAATAGACATCAGCACGAGGTTCTGGGGAATGAACCCCACAAACTCTGTTGTTATTCCCCGGAGCCTCGTACTGAGGTCTTTTGTTTTGGGCTGAATTTTAAATATATCGAAATTGGCCCATCGAAGTCGCTGATTTTCAGTACCGACGAAAACTCCATAGTAACACGGAAAATGCGCCTTCTATGGCCGTTTGAAGCTTAATTCCGTTTGGATATCGAGGCTACTTAGAAATTAAGCCACAAAGCGTTTGCTGTGCAATATTTTAGCGGCCATGTATTTATTAATCTCGACAAAAACAGGGGCACCCAACAGATCGTTTCGGTAAATTATCTGTTCGGAAGGCCTTTAATCCCCTCTGATTTTCTTGAGAGAATTGGCACCTCGA